TGGGACGTTACGTGTGCGCTTTTGGAGAGGCAATAGCAGCCATGTTGAGTCGGTGTTACGAGTTTGGTGCCGGTGACTTCTTGATCGCTGTCATTCTGTTTTCTCGGAGCCTATTCCAGCCAATGGCCTACAATACGCTGGAATATGTATCGTTCCGTTCCGTAGGGCTGTTCCTATTGCTACTGCTTATCAACACGCAAAATGTTGCGTTCTCGTGGACCGAGCACTGCGCAGTAATCTCACTAACGATAGCGGGAGTAGGACCGGTTTCGCATGATAGCATCTTGGGGGGGGGGGGGGGGGGGACACGACTACGATGGGTAAGGTCACTCCTGTCGCCCTCGCTTCGAAACCGCTCTGTAGTGTCCATCGGAACGCTGACCAGCGGGTTCGAACGGAGCAAGCTAACGCTGAACGCTTGTCAGCGCCCAATTGTGAATTATTCGAAGACTACCAAGCTACTGACGGCGGGACATGTTCTGACAAAGAAGTGCCAGAAGGTGATGAACGTGCCCGTGTTGGTACTAAGAATTCTCCTCCGACTATATCGGGCGACTTCACTGCTGTGGAGGTTTTCATAGCTGACGTTCTGTGTGGCTTCAGGACCCTCTCCTAGCGTCCTGTTTGCCGAAGACGATGAACGCCTCGTCGGGGAGATTGTCCCGCACCCGGGAATGCAGCTAGTGTTCCAGGCGACCGTCCGCTGGGTCCTTCTCCTGGTCATGCTACTACAAACGCTCCCACCTTTCTTCGTCGTGCCTACCGAGCCTTGGACGTGGTTACGCTACTGCCCGTCGCCGTCGACGCGATTGACGCAAGGTCCCGCTGAAGAGATGGACACTCACAACCTGGAGTCACTGGGATGGAAGGCACGGGACTTCCTAGTTTGACGTGAGGTGACAAAGAGAATAGATGTCACCAAGATAAAGACCAGATTGTATTTCATAGCTAAGTAGCCTCAGTGGCATGCATACCTAGCAGGAGGGAACGCTCTGTGGCGTGCTCCCCTCATTCGTACATTTTCCCTGCCGTTCGCAATCGGCGAACGAAGAAGAAGGACAGTAAGAAACAAGTTGTGTTTAGCTTTATTACTACCGTCCATACCGCTAATACCGTACCGCGCCTACTAGTACGAGCCCTCCTCATATCAATCCGTTGCCTGCTCGACCCCGTTCCGAGAAGATGTATGACACTGGTATCAATGGACCTCATGGTGTGAGATGATGTGCTGTTTTCATTGGCTAATCGCGAACGACGTCAACAAGTACGCGGATCAGCTAAGTGCCGTGCCGTCTATCTCTGGAAATTTCGAAACGAATCGAAAGCACTTATTGCACGATTTAGTCGAAGCTATGCGCTGTCCGCTGGTATCACCGAAATAGACCGGGGTGAGACCCTGATGGGACTTGGAAACCACGCTATTTTGCTGCGGGGTATTCTTTAACTTACGGACCCAGTTGCCAAGCAACAGCCCATGACCGCGCAGCTGCTTTGAGATATCTTCCGTAGCCTAGATCTCACTCAGCTACGCGATGAGATCTTGTGGGGCGGCCTGTTACGGGGCTGCTTTTGTTGCTGAAACGACTCGAATATCGATACATCGGACGTAGAGCTCACAGCTACATCCTACCGCTATCTTCAATCAAGTTGTTGGCTAGTAAGGACAATCCTGCGGTCCCCAGAAAACACAAGTGGTCGGTATCACGTTGTACGGAGCACAGAATATTTGGTTTGACTGTGAAAAAGTGAGGTACCACCACAAGGCAGACGATAAGCTCATATGCCCTGCTAGAGTAGTTCGATGGATGCATAAGGCGGTATTTGGGCTGG